ACGAAAATGGGTACTCGGGTTATCAATGCTAGCATCCTTTGATATTTTCATATCTTCTGTAATAAGGTTGTCAGATAAGATATTTATTGTGGTGTGAAGAGATGAAGAAAAATCCAAGATCAAAATCATTTACTTCGAAGAGTTCTGGGACGTCTTCAAACTCGAACGCAACGAGAGCGAAGCTGAACAAGCGAAACTCGACACCCGTTGGAACGCAAAAATTAAGATCGGAAACTATTAGTACCCCTACTAGTAGTGAAGGGGTTGAAAAGGAAAAAAGTTCTCTTAGAAGAAAAAAAGGCCAAGTACAGAAAGAGGAAATACCTGAAGAAGTTGATAAAGTGATTGATCTGAGTAGAAATGAAGATGTCGAAAAGCTGATGATACAGCTTGTGAATTTATTGGGAATTGGTTTACCAACTAATGAAGGTTCTTCAATTTTTGAAACTGAAAATTACTACGACGAGGTATCCTTGGACAGAAGAAAAATTGCCACCATTGCAAAGCCCGAGCTGTCTCAAATTACAGACTACGAAAGCGCAAAAAGTATGCCAGTGCGCAATTCAAAAAGGTTCCTTGGAGGCTTTTCCGACTCAAAAGGACACGTAATATCATATTCGTCGCAACGAAACCGAGTAAAACTACCGAACATCAAAGATAGTGGACGGCAACTATTCCAGGTTTTGTATACTAGTCCAACGGATCTTAACAAAGTGCAACAATCACAACCAAGACCACGTTCTTTGTCAGTGTATACAAACAGAGGGATGGACTTTGCGAACGAAAGGTACCGTTATGGTTGTGATAGCAGGGGTAATAAATCTGATATTTCTTACAGGAGCGGCAGGATAGATCAGACTTATACAATTCCCCACACGGGAACTAGACGTAACAACCCAACTAGTGGTACTGCAGTCTATAGGAGCATTCTCTCTCGTGGGAAGCCAAAAACAGAACGGCTCCAAGTTTCGCGAGTTACGTTCGTGGATGATAAACAATATGATCTGCTCCGAAACGACAGCAGAGGAAAACAAGGACAGATATTAGACGCGTTTTGATATTGAGGGTTAATAATATTTGTATATAAAAATTTAAAAAAGATACTATGTAATTTAGTCTTGGGACTAAAAAAATGAATTCAAGCGTTACTACGAAAGTATTTTTAGACCAAATCAACTTTGTCGTTAAAGGAAACTTACTTTTTAAAACAAATGAAATTTGTATTCATATCATAACCATATCATGCTTTAAAAGGACTGATCAATAATCTCAATAGACCCTTTTCGAGTTCCAAATTACCGCTGTGTTTCTTGATTACAGACTCATTTGCTCAGCCTAAACCTCGTATCAGTGTCTAATTACTCGCAAATACCAACGGTAAAGTAAAGAATGCACAAGTTCAACAATACGAACACTTTGAAACTTGACGGACMTTGACTGGAACACGTGAATATTCTTCATAAAATCGAGGCTTAGCCTGAGCAAATGAGTCTGTAATCAAGAAACACAGCGGTAATTTGGAACTCGAAAAGGGTCAATTTTATGAGGACCCAATTATATATACATGGACCTTGCGGTGGACGGCAATTTGCGCCTGTCTCAGTTTTTCTCAGCATGGTTCACTAGAACCGATATATATACTTCAGTGCACCAATTAAGTCGCACTTGCTAATTCGATCATTAATCGAGAGCTAGTTGCTCGTTAAGTCAAGGGTGATACGCGGGAGGTGACTAAATGGCCGGCAGTTTCATCCCCCCCCCAGGGATCGATTTCCCTCTACTAGATTTCAATTTGACGGATTGGTAGATAGGAATAGTAATAAAATCAAAAAGTTTAACTAATCAAAAAAGACAAACGGAAAAAAGGAGCAAAAGCGTTTAGGTCACCCATCCAAGTGCTAAACCTCCTCAGACGAGCTTGATTCAGTATCTTGAACGACAACGATTTATCCACTGGACCACGGTTCCAGGTGAATCAGCATAACAATAGCCGTGAAAACAATGGACGGAATAGGCTAGACTTTTTAACATATTTTCAACCGATTCAGTGCGTGGCAGAGATGCAAGGGATTAGCCGATATGGTCTGGGGGCCGGCTGGTCTCTCCCCTGATGCTTTGGCTAGAACATTTTCTTGCGTAATTCGTGCACTCAAGGGCAGAAGGATTTAATCGCCGTCAGGTCCGAAGTCCATACGCCGCCTCAGCTCTGCGGATGTCTCGGGGGTATGGCACAGTGGAATCTATTTTTAGAATTTTTTTAAATTGAATTTCTTTCGGTGGGTTCGAATCCAATCTTATCCACATTAGATATGAGATTTTTCTTTTTTTCCTTTTTTTCTTTTTTTTTTCTTTTTTTTTTTTTTTTTTTTTCTTTCTTTCCAATCAGAATTTAGGGGTCTATCAAACTGATGATAGCAGCAGGAAAGAGGAATCAAGGATATTTAATAACATGCGGATCAAAATTAAAATGCACCAGCCCTTCCCCTCTCTCTAATTAATGTCCGGCCCCGGCCTAAGATACAAATTATCATTACGACATTTTACGCAAAAAGCTAGGTTAACCCGCGATTATTCCTACCGCTGACTAGACTACCGTGTGACTACTATTTGTTAAAGCAGATTAGTCATTGCTTAATATTTCTCTGTATATTGCGGTGGNTGTTTTTGATCCATTTTTTTATTAGATTTAAATCTTCGACAATAAGGCAATCTTTTTAGTGAAAAAAAATTTATTCCTAGTTAGTTGTTCATAAGTTCGATCAGACGTTATCAGTCATATAAGCAATATTGATCAGCAAAAACTAGAGCTATGCTTTTCTATCTTTTCTGGCAAAGTTTGCTGACAAGAAAATTTACTGCACTTTGATATCTATATCATATGCTAGCAAAGGACTAGTGGTGGTGACATGAAGACTTCTGGGTAGTAATTTCTGTATTTTATAACAGGGAAGCTAGCCACCGCTGTAAATCTAGAATATAATGACAAAGGATGGTAAAAAGATAAGAAAATTAATTGGTGATTCTTTCTGAGAACATTGGGGTATTTGATCTTGTTGCGTCATGGCGCAAGATCAAATTTATAAGAAGTGTGACATGCAGAACGAAAAACTGTTTATTTTAATTTATAGTCTAAAAAAGGGCAGAACCTGCAATTAAAATGTTATGTAGAGAACAACTTTAGGGAGAAGATAGTCTTAGACGAGTTAAACAAAATCATTCAGGCAACCCAGTGAACGCCTATAGGTTGCTATCAATAGACGTCACTTCCGGTAATAGCTACGTTTTTAATGGCTTGTAGAATCTTGGAGGTTGTTTTGATCTCTTGTTTTCTGGTTTCATATCGTAGAAATTGTCAAATACAATAGTTTGAGGACTTATTTTGACATGTTTTGACTTAACATCCGCTAGTTGCCCCTCAGTCAACCCGGCGCTTGTTTGCCCCCCAGTCAACTCCAAAAAGTCACGTGATTGATAGTAAGTAATAACACGTCTTGTTTCGACATACTTAGATTTTTAGATCCGATATTCATTTTAAAGGTTTCCATTTACCATCTGCGTGATCTCTATAATCCATCGATTAGCCTCCGGCTGGTCATATATGAATAAAGCATAATACCTAGCTATAAATTAGATTGGCAATTTTGGTGCAGCTAGAATCATTCAAGTAGAATTCTACTCTTTCATTATTGATTTTTATAAAATAATAGCAACTGAGTTCGCGTAAGAAGGCAGATTTCGATTTCAAGGATGTGCATAATAGTATTTATAGATTGATGAATACATATCTATTTAATCTTGCTATAGCTAGCTATTTATGATTATTTATTTATACTTGTTCGTTTTATTGCCACCATCCATCCATCCCTCCCTCCCTCCCTCTCTCCCTCCCTCCGTCCGTTCGTCCGTCCGTCCGTCCTTCCTTCCGTCCGTCCGTCCGTCCTTCCTTCCTTCCTTCCTTCCTTTCCTCCTCCCTCTGCCCTTCTTTTTATTCCTTCATTTATTTTCTGTTTAATTCTCTCATTAACATTTTTTGCATTAATTAATTGATCCCTTCTCTTCCATTGTTTGATCCCTTGCTGCTTAAAAATATATCCTATACTTGCATTGTGATTTTAATAGTGAAGAAAAGATTTAAGTCCATTTTATGTCCATTATCGGGTTAGTGAACTCTCGCTCTTTCCCAAAACCCATGTGCTTTTATAAATTAATTTCCTAGAAACACCCCCAGCTGACCGAATAGTTAGCTATCTAGCAAAAAACATTTTTAATTCGACAGAACAATTATAATTAAGTACCATCAACCAGTTAATTTTTTTTCAGGGTCCTTGAGGCCGCGGGCCCTAATCCCATTTCCCGGCCCCCATTACCAAATCCCATATAGTCCCAGCCTATGTTTTGCTCAAATCTCAATCCCATTAACATCTTTTATTTATCTTTTTTTTTTTTCTTTTTTTTTTTTTTTTTTTTGTTTGTTTGTTTGTTTGTTTGTGATTCCCATGTCCAGTGCATAAAATCCCATTTTCCCAACCCAAAAAAAGGTGAATCCCAGCTCCCATTTTACCACTTCAGGGACATTCGTGACTTTCCTTTCTGGGTAACTAGTAGTTTTTTTTTTTTTTCCTTCTATTCAACACATTGTAATATTAGTTTCCCAATACAGCCGTTAAAAGAAAAAAATCACCAAAAAAAATCCGTTTTCGTCGCAAGTCTGGTAAGATCACGTGACCTCACGTGAGAGAACACCTCACTTGCTATTTTTCGTCAGTCTCGTCATTCTTGTTTGTCTCGTTTAGCGGCACGTTTCCGATCAACCAAGTAATCCTCAACCTCTCGAATAAATCCTATTTTATGGATTCTGTCCCTTCCTGATGTTATATATATATATTTTTAAAAGTGTATTTTTAAAAAGCGAGTTTTGGGATTGTTTTTGGTTTGATTTTGCAGGTCTAYCACCCCCTACCCTCCCCTCCCTGCCGCCTACTTACCCACAAGTCAACGAGTGATTTGTACAGGGAACCACCACACGCACTTCCAATATGGCGGTGTCCCTCAATTCTTCTGCAGAGGGTCCAGCCTTCAGCGATAGTGACATGAGCGCAGACGAAGGCTCAACCACTACTACCAACCAAAATGTCGGTCTTATAAGCTTATTAAAACAAGAAAACAGAGTGTTGAAGATGGAGCTCGAAACGTGTAAGCTGAGATGTAAGTCGTTGCAGGAGGAGAACAGAGCGCTTCGACAAGCTAGTGTGTCTATCGTAAGTCTTTCTTGTCGTTTATTATTTTCTCTCAGACCCTTATTTTACATCATATTTGTACTACATACATCATTTCAACCATCTCGGGTCCCAGGTGGGTTTTAAATGCTTCGCTTGTCTTAAAAATCAATTGAGGGCTTTCCTCAAGTGCGACACCTTTTTTCTCTTGCTTTGACTACATAACACGCCAAAATATTTACTCGAACGGCTTAAAGACAAAACCCTTTCTTCGAATAACCCTAACAATCATTAATACAAGTTTCTTTATTTTGTATCGTGGAAGTTGAACAAGCCTATTCAAAGGAAAACAGTCCAATGCCAATCAACAGAATTGTGCTGGTCGATGCCCAAAAAAATTGTGGTGCCTAATGTTTACATGTGTATGCGAAAAAATATTTATAAGATCTTTTTTGCCATCATTATAAAGATATTCTTCTTTGTGGCCCCATGCAAAGCCACACACTTCTTAAAAAGCATATATGTTTGGATATTATCTAAGAATGATGCTTAGAATTTTTGAAAATATTTTTTTACAAACATAAGGGTTTTGTTTACTCCCTCAGAGGAAAAATTGTTCTCAGACAGGAACTTTTTTTCCCGTGACCTCCATGTTGACCTTTTTTTGATCATCAAAGACTCCAGGAATCAGGGAGGAATTTTGATCGGAAAAATTGCTTTATCTAGTAAAAAGCTTGCTTCATAAACTGTGGGACAGTGTGCTCCCATGTGGGTGGTAGCTGTGGGTAGGAGGATTATGTTTATTATTAAGGGATGGACCATAAGATAATTGAGGAGGGGGTTGAATTGATAAAATATATCCTACCTCTCCTTTCAGTAAGGAAAAAAAAAAAAACAGAGCAAATGCAAAACATTGAGTGCGGTGGTTGTTACAAAAAACGTTTAATTGTGCAACATAAATTCCTGTAACCCCTCCTCCCTCGATTATTTAATGGTCCATCCCTAAGGTTTTCTTTAATTCTAGAGTGTATATATGCACATATTTTTCTTGTTACTCTTTCGGGAATATGAAATTATGAGGTTGCTATAGCAATCTTAACCAATGCAGTTTGAATCTTAGTCTGAAATATTTATTTAATAAATCCATACTTGAATTACATGTTCTAAAAAATTGTCTGGCTAACCCCTTGTATGGTGCTGTACCTTCAGTTCAATTGCATTGGACATTTTCTTCTAGTTTACCTTATACTAAGAGAACTAATATCAGTCAGTAAGCACTTATCATGTCCTGATTTGTTTAACCTGGCTATATTCTGTATAGCTAATCTTTTTATATCTTTTAGACAGGCAGATGGTTTTTGCTATGCTTAACTGCATCTATCATTAAATCATTCTCATTTACATTGTTTCATTTATTTCACACTGTATATTCCTGTTGGGTTTATAATCACAATGAATTCTCTCTCTCACTTGTGTTGAGCCATTCAATACGCTACCTATCTTTTGCATGGTTTTTGCTATATTTAACTGCATCTACCATCAAATCATTCTTATTAACATTGTTTCTATTTCATATACCTTGGTCCAGATAGGAAAAACCATACCCTCAGGCCCCGTCCACACTATGCTGGATAAATTTGAATCCGAATTTTTATTTATTTGGTTAGGCCTACTGTCCACACTAGTCCGGGCGAATCCGGAACAATTCTTCACCGAAAACGAATTTTCAAAATGGAACCGAATAAATAAAAATTCGGATTGAAATTTATCCTGCATAGTGTGGACGGTGCCTCAGCCTTGAAAACGGACCTTGACCTAATGGTCTCAGTCCATATATTCAAGACCTTGGGAACAGGTCTTCCCTATCCAGACCTTCTGGCTGGTAAATAAACCCTGCAGACATCTCTCTTATTTGACCAAAATCTTCAGATACCCATCTATCATTTATATGGTTCCTTCTATGTCTAACTACATGTACCATGAAATAGATATCATTAAACATTATGCCTACTATTTCATATATCCTGAGAAAA